CTGCTCCTGGCCGGAACAGAAGGAGATTGCATGATATTGCTATTCAGAGCAACGGCTCTGTGGAGAATCTGTTGCAATGAGTGCAACAGCTGGGTCGGGAACTCCAAGACACCTCAAAGAGGATCACCATGGTGGAGGACTGGGGGTCATGGGATTGGTCCTGGCTGGGGGGTATCCTAGGGACCGTGCTCACATGGGTCATAATCGTCTTGCTGCTTATTTGTTTCGCCCCAATGTTATTCCAGATGCTAAACGATCCAATCAGATGAAACCTGATCAGTGCCCATTACTTATTGCTACCTGATGTGCTGCCCAGCGAGATATAACCAGCTGCTTTATAATTCCGGGAGGTGGGGAAACAGGGTTTACGTGGGGTGCTACTGCAGGGTCGTATGAATTATCATAAAGAGGGGGGAGTTGTAGAGGGACAGGTATGGGGCTCATGGGAGGTGGGTCGTGGGTGCAATCGGGTGTCATGGGTTTCCGGGGTGGTCGGGTGTACGGGTATAAAGAACTTCGTTGTGCAGCATTAAATTGGCATTTGGCGCTTGACACCGTGTGTTCGACCCATTTGTCCCTGGGCTGGGGATGTCCAGAACGGAAGGGTCTAGAGCCTTGTGTTGTGTTGTGCCTAGCCAGCCGATAGCAACAGTGGTCATCAATGGTTCTGTGTCCAGGTGGAGGCCAGTAACATGTGGCTTCCCCCAGGGGTCCGTCTTGGGATCAGTGCTGTTTAACATCTTTATCAATGACATCGGTGATGGAATCGAATGCACCCTCAGCAGGTTTGCTGACGACACCAAGCTGAGTGGTGCAGTCAACACAGTGGAAGGAAGGGATGCCATTCAGAGGGACCTCAACAGGCTGAAAGATCAGCCCGGGTGAACCTAAAGAGGTTCAACACAGCAAAGTGAAAGGTTTTGCACTTGGGCCAGAGGAATCCCAGGCATCGAGACAGACTAGAAGGAACGGTTCTTGAGAGCAGCCCCGCAGAGGACCTGGGGGTCTTGATGGATGAAAAGCTTAGCATAAGCAAGCAGTGTGCTCTTGCAGCTCCGAAGGCAAATGGTATCCTGGGCTCCATCAGAAGAGGAGTGGCCAGCAGGGACAGGGAGGTGATTGTACCCCTTTACTTTGCTCTTGTGAGGCCCCATCTGTAGTACCGTGTCCAGGTCTGGAGCCCCCAGTACAAGAAAGACAGAGAGCTGTTGGAGAGGGTCCAAAGGAGGGCCACAAAGAGACGATCAAGGGACTGCAGCACCTCCGCTACAAAGACAGGCTGAGGGAGCTGGGCTTGTTCAGCCTGGAGAAAAAAAGGCTGTGGGGTGACCTCATTGCAGCCTTTCAGTACATAAAGGGAGCCTACAAACAGGAGGGGAATCAACTCTTTGAAAGGGTAGATAACTGCAGGACAAGGGGAAATGGTTTTAAGTAGAGGAAGAGAAGATTTAGGTTGGATGTCAGGGGGAAGTTCTTTACAGAGAGTGGTAAGGTGCTGGAACAGGCTGCCCAGAGAGGTTGTGGATGCCCCGTCCCTGGAGATGTTCAAGGCCAGATTGAATGGGGCCCTGGGCAATCTGGTCTAGTATTAAACGGGGAGGTTGGTGGCCCTGCATGTGGCAGAGGGGGGTTGGAGATTCATGATCCTTGAGGTCCCTTCCAATCCTGGCCACTCTGTGATCAGTTTAACCAGGTCTGAGACACATTGTAATTAATATAGCAAGATCATGTATTATCCTACTCAGGTGATCTGCAAGCCTGTGAAGATGGTATTACTTAAAGTTTCACAGAGATAAAGGCAATAATATTTATGCTACTTTTTAGCATACCACTTTTTAGTTAACCCATCATTTACAAGCCACTGCAAAAACATCCATTATGAACACAGTATGCTGGTGGAGTGTAAGTTATCTTAACTATTTATGCATGTAAATGTTTATACTCTTTTAATCACACATTTCTTTCTGAGAACCATTAAAACATATGCTTAACATCTTCATTTTTCACTAGTCATGCTAGTCTCGACAGCTACTGTCATGTTGATTCCTAACTCTTGATTGTAAATTCCTCTGGAAACCCAACACCATTAGCACTTCTTCTTATTCTTGGGGAAAAAAAACATAGAAACAATGTTTTTCCCAGTAGAAGCTACTCACACTCTTGGTTGGTGCTGGAGCCTCAAAATTAACAGTTTTGTTATAATGTGTACAGACAATGAGCAAAAACTATTGAGCCTTTTACATTTATAAATGGGGTTACATCATCACTAGCAGAACATATAGGGCTAGGTGGAAGCTCATACGTGCTGCTGAATTATTGAAGGATGTTTTCTGATGCAGTTTCAGTCAGAGAGTAAGAGACATAAACACAGAATAAGTCATTCTCTTTTGGGAAAGGAACAGAAAAAGATGAGAACTCTGTCTGAATTCTGAATTATTGTGATACCCTATTACTGAAGTCTGACCACACTGCCAATAGTGAAATGAGCTATGATAAAAACACAGGCTACAAATTTAAGCCTTTATTTTAGGAGGACCTTAGGCAGTCCTTTCAAACTGTTTGTAATCTTTGCAGTCTATGACTTCGTCTTCTTTTAGTGAATTTAGAAGTAAGGAACACGAATCCGTTTTCTCAGCTGTCTAATGATTAGTTTAGAGTTTTGACCCTACTTTCCTCCAAAGAGCTTATCAGTTAATTTTCAGTGCAATTAATTTGACAGAATGTTTTGTTTGATTTATACTTAACTGTAAACCACTATGGGGGAAAATTAACCTTGTGGTAATAAATTTCCACCTTGTTCTCAATAATTTCTATTAAAACTTAACTTCAATCTGGAAATATTTTTTTTTAAAACACTTTTTCAGTGTAACTGCAAAGATTTATATGATGCAATACTCAATGATACACAAGCATGAAGTTTAGTTTTTAGATATAATAGGAAAAAAAACCATTGAAAAACTATATAATTCAAAAATAACTTTTTAAACAGTTTTGAGGCTGCTAATTTTTTCATACTCTTATCGCTGGTCACCCACCTTCTGGTTGTTCAGAAAAAAACATGTTATCTCCAAAAATTTGACTTGAGTCTGAACAAAGAAGTTTTATGACGTTTTCTCAAAGATTCATAATAAAATTCAGTTTGAGGTTAATACAACTGTATTAGAAGTTTATAGGTGCATGCCATTGATGTGTGATGCCAACATGTTTATATTTGCGAGGCATCCATGATAAGCAGAGGAAATCTAGGATTTAATTAAATTGCTAAGCGTAAGATATAGTTACGCTTCAGATTATTTAAGGTATCCAGGATATTCCCATGAGGACACCATAAACTCAAGTGAACACAGTTTGATTACATGAACAAGGGACGCTAGTGCTATTAGACATGTCTCATGGTGTCCTTACATTTTTGGGCCATAGAGACACTAAAGGAAACCTAAAAGCAAATCTGAAAATATCCAGTTAACTGTACAGGGGTTTGTTTCTATGGAAAAACACTCAGCTTGGTAATTCAGGGAGAACTTGTTTATGTGCAATTAGCAGCACAGAGGTAAGCAAAGCATGTGATGTCTAGATAACTTCTGAGCTTCTAAACGTAGAATTATTTTGATATCTTGCTGATACCTTTACTGATATTTTATCTAACAAATTTTAGGTTGAAAAATGTAAAACAAACAAAAACAGAACAAAGAAAAATTCATAAACTCTCTCTGAAACACTGCCTGTAAATCTTAGCATCATGAATTACAACAGTTCTTGTTTTAGTCATCTCCTTCCTAGCATTCTTTTCTGCTCTTTCCCTTATATTTCTCAGGGTGTCTATGAATGTTTTTGTTTACACTGAACAATATTTAGTTACGTTATGAAGGGCTACTCCAATATATATTCATCTTTCTTCCCATATTCTTCAAACATTAACTGAAACAGAATAAATACTTGGGCATGTCAGAGAATCATATGCTGTGCCTAAGCTTTCCATTGATGCGTATCAAATACCAGGACAGCTGTAGAGAAAACATTAAGAAGCATCAGTGGAATTGCATGGGAACCTGGAGGCTATCACTGCACTGTATTTAAACATTCTCTCTTAATTCTACACTAATCTGAGCAAGTGAGATGCATCCTATGTCTACAGAGAGTCCAGAAAGATATGGTTGATTAAAACATCTAACCAAACATATTCCCTATTAATAGAAATATAATTATATGAAAGGAAATCCATTTTAGTATATCTGAGGAAATACATCCCACACTCCTAATTCTCTATTTCAAGTTGGTTATTACATGCTGTATTGCCAACATCCACAGAAAGGGCATCAAAACTTTAGTACTGATTGTTCTATGGGGGTCCACTCAGTGCAATCAGAAGATCTCAGAATCCATATACTTCTTTGTCTATGAATTTCAAAAATATGAATTTCAAAAGCTTTTACAGTATCTCTGCACAACCTCTTGCAGCAGTTTAATGCTTACAGCATTTTATTATTATTATTATTATTATTATTATTATTATTATTTTGATAGATATGGAGAAAGGCTCAGAACAGCCCCATTGCTCAGCATTGCCATGCTGCAAACTAAGATTAGCCAGCAGAAGGTTTTTTTATTATTATTATTTTTATTCCTACTGTAGGTTTCCAAGAAGGGCTGTGATGGGACTCTAGTCAGTAGCCAAACAAATACACTTTTTCTCATTACTCTCATGGGATGGAGATAAAATAGAAGGAAGGTGAGAAGGCTCATTATATTGATATGACAGTCTCATAGGAAAAAGCTGTGTGTGTTGGTTAAGCAGAAAGAGGAATTCATTCAAAGATTCTCATCAGCAAGCAGATGTCCAGATGCTTTCTAGAAAGTAAGACCACAGCATGCATAGCAGCTGGACAGGAAAACACCAGAGATGACCCCCTCTTTTTTATCCTTTTTAAAAATCTTTTTATCTTTTTCTTGCTGCAGTTTTCACGATAACAGTTATTGTATTCTTATTAAAATAAAATTACCTGAGGTGGAAGAAGTGGTAGTCTTATATATGCGAGCAGCATACTTAGGTCACTGCACCGCCTCTGCATATCATACTTCACCCACATCATTAAAGCATGGAAAATGGTTTCTTCATCAGGAACATTCACATCATCGCTAGCAAGAAGTTTATGGAGTTCTTCAGCTGGTAGAAGTAAAAATTCTTGATTTCTTATAACTTCAATTATATTCTCCTGAGAAGAGGAAAGCATCACAGATTTAATAACAACACTGGAAGAAAATAAAAGTAGTTGTTAAAGTTAATATATACATAGGATTAGTTAATATCCATCTTTCTTACAGATGATAAGAAAAAAAACCCAGAGATTATTAACAACTGTATTTGTAATTAATATATAAACATATAAAATGAAAGTAAGATTGTATGGTAAAATTGTAATAAAAATATCAGAATTTAGTTATAATGGATAGAGGAGATCTATATATTTAAAAGAAGGTGCTTTCTATTGGTCCTTTGCAGGTAGATCCCACAGATGCTCACATAGAAACAGAAAAATAATTGAATGTAGTTTTGTCAGGACCTATTTTTAAATTGCTTGAGTAAATGCCAAAAGGTAATTTATATTTTTCTGGCCTTTGTTTTTGTCCACTGACTCCGAACAAAGTAAGTTTAAATTGTGTGCTTAGAATCTTGTACAGTAGCCTAGAAATGTAAGGGAAACAGTTTATAGGCACTTCCTATAAGTTGCTTAATTCATTTTAATTAAAAAGCCATAAAACTTAGAAAATTTCACTGCGCTTCTCAATAAAATGATTTATAAAGCAAAATTTAATTAAGGCTGGTTAAACTGACATTAAATCCCATTATAAAGAAAATATAACTCAACATATTATTAGAAACCAACATGAAACTTTGCAATGGCATATTAATCCAAAGTCCCAATATTATTGAAATGCATTATAATGGTAGAATACATTTTATGAACCCACAGAACTTAATTAATTTTGAATAACTTTCAGAGCAGGGATATTGAATAATTATATTATTATTTTGATTAAGATTTCTTATAATTTTAAATTGTGTTTTCTTTTGGAGATATATTTAAGAAGATCTTATTCCAGCCTCTGTACTGATTCACCATTGAACAAAAGCAACATCCAACAGTTTCCAGACAAAACATGAGCTTGCTAGGCCCAAATCTTTTCTTCTGAACATTTGAATTTCCAGTAGTTTCATGTGAGTCATGGCTAAGTAAACTGTTGCCTTTAAAAGTTTTAATGAGCAGTCGTATGTGTGTGTATAAATATATGTGCACTTATATTATATATTATATTTATGCATATTTTACATATATAAAACTGATTTCTTGATCTTCAGAGTTAAACAACAACAAACAACCTCCCTCCTTTAAGTATTTAGCATTCCTTAAATTGACTTTTGACTGTGAAAAACTTCTACATCACATTTTAATTTCTCTAATACCATTTTATTTTGAGTGGAAAAGTATATTTCAGTGGGTTGCTGTTCTATCAAAACAATGTCCCTGTATTCTTTCCAGGCTATACAACCCTGCTTCCATTTCCATTTTTCCCTCAGTTTATGCTGCATGTCATTGCACAGCCATTATGGTCACCTATGTCCCCAGCTCAACTTCTTCTGCTGCGGGATGGAGAGCATTGTGCTCTCAGAAGGCTGTCCTTAAGGAGCTACCAGCTCTGTTCTGTGCCCATGCCCTTAAGGACAGTCTCCCAGGGGTTCCCACTCAGCAGTTCCTTGAGCAGCCAGAAGTTTGCTCTCCTGAATCACAGGGTCCTTGCTCTGCTTTTTGCCAGGCCCACATTGTTCAAGATCACAAACTCAAGAATCACAAATCACCAAGGCATGGTCACTGCAGCCCAGGCTGCCTCCAATCTTAACCTCTCTAATACTCTCCTCTGCATTAGTGAGCACCAGGTCCAGTAAGGCTTCACCTTGGGATGGTCCATCTATTATCTGGACCAGGAAGTTGTTCTTGACAGAATCCAGGAATCTCCTGGATTTTCTGCTACCTGCCATGCCACTATTATATCTGGGTGGTTGAAATCCCCCATGAGGACAAGAGTCCGTGAGCAGGACACCTCCTGCAGCTGAAGCAAGAAGGCCTTGTCAACAGACTTCTCCTGATCAGGTGGCCTGTAGCAGACCCCAAACACTAGATGCCTTTCACTGGACCAATCCTTGATTTTTACCCACAAGCTCTTGACCTGATCGTTGACTGTTCCTCACACACAGCTCTTTGCAGTCTATCCACTTCCTAACATAGAGGGCAACTCCCCCACCCCTTCTACCCTGTCTATCCCTTCTGAAAAGCCTGTAGTCCTCAATCAGGGTATTCCAATTGTGGGATTTATCCCATCATGTTTCCGTGATAGCAATTAAGTCATACTTTCCCTATTGCACCACAGTTTCTAGCTCCTTGTCACAGAGTTAACTAGATCAATCTATGCCCATGGCAGGGGGGGCAGTAGCCCCCTGCCTCCCTCCCCCCAAACCCAAAAATGAGAAGGGAAAGAGAAAAGGAGTGGGGAGATGGGAGCTGGGTTCAATGAAGGAAAAAACAAAACAAAACAACAACAACAACAACAACAAAAAACAAACTAGCAGCAACGATCTTTCAAGGAAAACTTATTTTACTAACTATGATATCAGAATGCAAGATAAGACAATATAATACAATCTAATTGAAATTGAGACTAATAAATCAAATAATATAGGAGAATGTTTCTGAGACCGAGTCAAACCTGAAAAGGCTTGGAACCCTGCAGCATCCACTGCAAGGCAGTAAGAGACCACCCCACCTGGAAGGCCTAGATCCCATGACTTCCGTTAATGTACAGGGGTATAGGTACCCGGAATTGGAGCATTAACACTTTAACTCCCAGTGCACTACATGATGTTATGATGTGGAATACTGAAAAACAAAACCACGACACTCCTTCTGTTTATTTCCCATGCTTACCAGTGCTGCACGCATTGGTATAGAGGCACTTCAACTTAGCTAGTGGCCTCGTTGCCTTTTTGGAGGAGCCCTGCCTAATACCTCCAGTACAAGTCTGGGGTTTTCTCTTCCCAGGAACTATCTTCTTTTCCTAAGACTGTACTATCATGTATATTCTTTACTAAGGTGAATGTCCTTTTAAAGTTCCTGAACTCTTATTAAGAAGTAGTACTCTCAATATCGCTATGGTCTGGTTCACTAGCTAAATGATGGATCTCAACTAAGAGAGAACACTACCTTCCCTGTGTAATCCAACAAGCCATATTTCTTCCAGTAAAATCATAGAATCACCAAGGTTGGAAAAGACCTCCAAGATGATCCAGTCCAACCGTCCTCTTATCACCAATATTTCCCACTAAACCATGTCCCTCAGTGCAATATCTAAATGTTTCTTGAACACTTCCAGGGACAGTGACTCCACCACCTCCTTGGGCAGCCCATTCTAGCATCTGACTACTCTCCTAGAGAAGTATTTCCTAACGTCCAACCTTAATCTCCCCTGGCACAACTTTAGGCCACTCTCTCCAGTCTTATCGCTAGTTGCATGGGAGAAGAGTCTGACTCCCACCTCACCACAACCTCCCTTCAGGAAGTTATAGAGAACAATAAGGTTTCCTCTGGACCTCCTCTTCACCAGACTAAACAACCCCAGGTCCCTCAGCCGCTCCCCGTAAGACTTGTGCTCCAGACCCCTCACCAGCTTCATTGCTCCTCTCTTAACGTGCTCCAGGGCCTCATTGTTTTTCTTGTAGTGAGGGACCCAAAACTGGACACAGTACTCAAGGTTTGGTCTCACTAGGGCTGAGTACAGAGGAATGATCACCTCCCTGCTCCTGCTATACTATTTCTGATACAAGACAGGATACCATTGGCCTTCTTGGCCACCTAGGCACACTGCTTGCTCACGTTTAGCCTAACATCAATCAACACTGCCAGGTCCATTTCCTCTACACAGTCTTCCAGCTACTCTGTCCCAAGCCTGGGTTGTGGTCAAAGTGCAGGACCTGGCACTTGGTCTTGTTGAACTTCATCCCAATGGCCTCAGCTCAGCTACCCAGCCTGTCCAGATCCTTCTGTAGGGCTCCAGGAAGATGGACACTTCCTGCCAACTTTGTATTATCTGCAGACATACTGGCAGTGCACTCAATCCCATCATTCAGGTCATCAATAAAGACATTAGACAGGACAGACTCCAATAGTGCCCCACTGGGGAACACCACTTGTGACCTATCAACAGGTATATGAGACTCCATTCAGCACCACTCTCGGCCCAGCTGTCCAGCCAGTTCTTTACCTAGCAAAGAGCTTATTTGTTCAAGCCACGGGCTGCCAGCTTCTCCAGGAGAATACTGGAAGAATACTTTGGGAGACAGTGTCAAAGGCTTTGCTGAAGTCTAGGCAGACTACATCAACAGCCTTCCCCTCATCCACCAGGCAAGTCAGTCAATCATAGGTCAAGCAGGAACTGCCTTTCACGAACCCATGCTGGCTGGGCCCGATTCCCCAGTTGTTCTGCACTTGCTGTGTGACTTTCCTCAAGGTTACCTGCTCCGTAACCTTTCCTGGCACCAAGGTCAGACTGACAGACCAATAGTTCTCCAGATCCTCTTTACGACACATCTTATAGATGGAGACACCTTTGCAAGCCTCCAATCCTCTGGGTCCTCTCTGGTTGACCAGGAATGTTGATAGATGATGGGAAGTGGCTTGGCTATTGCCTCCACCAGCTCCCTCAGCACCCTTGGGTGGATCCCATCCAGCTCCATGGACTTGTGGCAGTCTAGGTGGACTAGTAGGTCTCTAACAGTTTCCATCTGAATCATGGGAGGTTTATTTTCCTCTCTATGCAAGAACTCCACGTCAGGAGTTAGGGTACCCCAGGGATAACTGGTCTAACTTAAAGAAAGCATTGAGAACCTCAACCTTTTCCTTATCCTCAGTGATCACATTCCCTGCTGCATCCAGTAAAGGATAGAAATTCTTCTTAGTCTTACTCTCTTTACTATTAACATATTTGAAAAAAAAACTTTTTATTCTCTTTTATCCCCAACAGCCAAGTCGAGTTCAAGCTGGGCTTCTGCCTTTCTAATTTTCTCCCTGTACATCCTAACTTCTTTGTACTTTCCTCAAGTTTCTTGTCCCTTCTTTCACAGGAAGAAGATTCTATTTTTCTCCTGGAACCTCAGGAAAAGCTC